GTGGGAAAGAGGCTGCTTGGTAAAGCAGGGGGCTGTGGCCCACCTAGAGCAGCCAAGCCCTACAGGAGGCCAGGGCCTGGCCTCTGATGGAGATGGCACTGGGGGTGAGGCACTGGCAGGTGGACCAGCCCCCAGCTCAGGGCAGCTGGCGGGAGGAGCCCAGGCACGAAGCCCCGTGATCACTCCACTTCTCTTGGAACCCACAGCCCCAGTCCAGCTCGGGAACCTGGAGGAGGCCCCCACCCCGGTCAGCCTGGCCCTCCAGCAGCCTGGACACAGCGACAAGGACCTCGAAAGTAAGTCAGCAGGGGTGGGGACTTGGGACGGGCTGGCTGCTCTCAGGGCCTCAGCGACTGTAGACAGGAGGGACTGCCTGGGGAAAGTCCGGCCAGGCCTGCCACAGCCAGGAGTCGGGGCAGACACACCTGCCGCTTTACAGATGGGACAGCCCAGGCTGCAGGACCCAGGTCTGTGCTGGGGGGGCTGGCTACCCCACCTCTATAGGGGGCCCCCTCTGCCCACGCTGCCCAGGTCCTGGTGCCCCTTGCTTCTCTGCAGAGGAGCAGGTTGAGGCAGGACCGTAGGGATCAGCAGAGGGAGCAGCCAGGGAGCAAGCCCTGATCTGAGGGACTCCAAACAGGTTGCTGCCCTGGCAGAGCCCCCGGTCACACAGGGCCTGCACCACCCCCAGGCCGGAGCTCTGCCGAGTGAGTCAGCCAGCACCCCTCGCAGGGCACCACACACTGGCACCCAGCAGCTCCGAGGCACCTGCCCTTCGTCCTTCTCTAAGCCTGGGGCCGCATCCCTGAGTCCCACCACCCCACCACCCCGAAGAGGCCCAAGTGCTTGGGAAGGGGTGAGCTCCTGCGTGGTCTTGGCCCACCCAGGGTCCGCCTCGTGCAGCCCCTCCGAGCCCCCGAGTCCCCACTACATAAAGTTCAGGAACCAGGCCGTGGGACGAGCTTGGGCTCCCTGTGCAGGCGTTCCTGGCAGCATGGGCTGAGCTGAGGCCCCTCCCGCGTGCCGGGCCGCACTGACCGGAGCACAGGCTTTGAGGCTGCAGCACACAGGCACGCTCTGGTTGTCACGGTCACGCAGCCCACCTGCTGGCATGGGGAGCTCTTGGCAGTGAGCCCCTCCGAACCTGGAGCCTCCAGGAGCTACAACGAGCACGCACGTGCACATGGCCATCAGGCTCCCTGTCCCTGCGGCTGGCATGGTCCCTCTGCATTCCTGAAGGGGACAGCAGACCCATTTCTTGTGTCTGCACATGGCTCTTCTCCGGCATCCTCACGTGACACTGCCCACGCCTACTGGAGTGTCCTTTGCGGCCCTTGGTGCAGAGGGTGTGCTCACGTGGGCCTGTGCAGGGGTGTGAGGGAGACACCCTCGCCCGAGGACACGCGAACACCCATCCCACGAGAAGGCCAAGTTGTTCGCAGCCGCTCAGGAGGCCCCCGAGCTTGTGGCCTCGCGGGCTCTGAGGGGTGGAGGACCTCTTCGCGGTTACCAGCCACAGGTGTCTGCTCCTCTGTGGGACGCCAGGTCAAGCCTTCAGACTTTCTCTCGGGGTAGTTGTCCTTTTCTGATTCATTTGTCCAAGTTTTTGTTTTTTGAGAGATTTTTGCTTTAGGGTGCATGCACTCACTGGGGAGACGAGACAGAGAGAGTGAGAAATCGCCCCTAAGGGGGATGGCCACACCGCAGTCCTGTCTCCTCCAGTCTCCTCTGGGTTTTGGGCACACACACACACATACACTTGGCATGGTTTTCAAGCTGCCAGGTCTGGGACTCAAACTGTAGTCAATACGCGGGAGTCCGGTGCCCTAGCCACTACGCCAACTGCTGGCTCCTGCCAGCGTGTTTAATACACGTTTGTCAGTGATGTGTTCTGCAAAAACGTTCAGCTTGGCTCATCTTTTCCTGTTCTTAATCGTACTTCTTAATTGAAGAAAGTGTATAATCAAATGTTTCAAGCCTTAGTTCTTAGCCATTTGGGGGCTCTCTCTAAAAATATCCTGCCCTTCGCCACAAACGTCAAGTTTTGCTTTTGAGGTTTAAATTGTAAGCACTTCTTTCCCACCTTCTTTCATTAAAGATTCCCTCTCTTCCTCACTGTCCATAGCAGAGTCCCACCTAGGAAAGTGGGATTCCAGGCCAGCGGGTGGTGCAGAGGTGAAGGCAGTCCAGGGCCCGGCGGCTGGAAGCTCACATGTGTGCATGCGTGCCCAGAACCCTGAGAGGAAAATGGAGGAGGGAGTGTGGCAGCCACCCCCCAGGGTGATTTCGCTCGCTCACTCACTCTCGTGAGTGCACGTACCCTATAGCAAACTGAAAAAAAGTGTCGTTCTCTGTGTCCGGGGTACCCTGTGCTGACCCTTCACGTGCTTGGTACCAGGAGGGAGTGCCCCTTCCTTGGTTCTCCGTCTGCAGAACCTGGCTCTCCTTGACCTTCGCCCTCCCCACAGACCCTTCTAGAACATCAGCATCTTTAGGGCAAGTCTGCTCACAGGGACGAGGTACCCCCCGTAGTTAGGACTGAGGTTTTGCACTTTGCATGGAGTCGTCAGGGTTTACATGGAACACAGGCTCCTAGGCCACTCTACAGTCTGGTACTATTGTAAATGGCGTCTTCCTTTTAATCTTCCAGAAGGCACATGCACTCGCCAGACAGAGGGAAAGTGAGAAAACGCCCCTGTGAAGGAGGGTTATGGCACAATCCCTTCTCCTCCATCTCTCCCTCCTTTCAGCCTATGGGGCACACGTGTACACACATGTGCACGCACTGGGGCCTAACAAGTTCTTTCCAAGCCTCTGAGTCAGGACCTTGAACTGTGCCATTGGCTACATGGGATGCAACTGTCCCAGACCCAGCGTGCCAGCCGGCTGGACACGGTGCCTTTACCTGACCCGGCCAGCCTGTCTGTCGCTGCGGAGCAGGTCTCCGACCTCGGCATGCTGACCTTGTAGCCAGCCACCTTGCCAACCTCTCACTCTTGCTGTAGAGTCTACAGCGCTTTCTATGAGTGTGGCCATCCTTTCGAAGCGGAATGTCTGTCTCGAGCTTAGACCTGTACCGAAGTGTGGGTGTCTACACTACACCAGCTTTCCTCGTGTGGGTGTCTACCTTCCCCAAGTCCTCTAAGCCCGCCCTTCCCCACTGCTCAGCAACGCCACCTCTGCTGTCAGCCAGAGTCCCTCCTCTACCCACTGTGTGGCCTCCTTTCCACTCGGGAGCCCTGGCCTGGCCTGGCCTGCTGTGCGAAGAAGCCTGGTCTTCCCAGCTCGCCCGTCTGGTGTCGCGGCTGCCTGGGGCCCTCCTTGAGCCCCACCAAGTGCTCGTGGGGACCATGTGTCCAATGTCTGAGGCTCTGCAGGCACCTACATGCACTGATCAGCCCTCCCATTGGGTAGGGATGGCCGAAAGCCTGCCTGAGGTCCCAGTCCCTGTCCCCTTCAGCTCTCTGAACACTAACCGCTGCCCTTCACTGTGTGTCGGGTTTGCTGTGCTGATCCAGGTCCTGTTTCCACACACAGTGACCTGCTGACAGGCCAATCACATGACGCCACTGATGGGCTGGAGCTCGGGGGGCCAACCCTGCCCGCATGCGCCCATGATGGCGGGGAGGCGGGGCAGCAGCCTCGGACAAGAGTCGGGAGGGCAGTGGGCTTGCAAGCCACACACACTATCGCTGGCCTTCACCCTGACACACCGGGCTGCGGGTGCTGGCGCCAGCGGGGCCCATCTGAGCCTGCACCTCTGCACCCTCTACGCAGTCCGCAGGGAGCGGGCCAGGGAAGAGCTGGAGCCACCAGCAGCAGGAAGTCCGCCCCAGGAGCACAGCAGGAGGGGATGGCAGACGCGGGACACCATGGGGAGGCACGGGCCCACTGCCCAGCCAGCTCCACACACCGCCATGAGGTGACCACAGAGCCCTAACGTGGCTCAGGTCCCTTAGACCATCACGGAGCACCCGCTCGCCTGAGTGAGTGCATGCGGACGCCCCGTCATGCAGCCCTCAGGTTGACACCCACCGAGCTGTGTAGGAGGGCCTCTGGAGGCGAAGACAACAGGGAGGACGCAGGCCAGTCCGGCACAGGGTGACAGGGAGGACGCAGGCCAGATCAGGCACGGGACGGCAGGGAGGACGCAGGCCAGACCGGGTACAGGACGGCAGGGAGGACGCAGGCCAGACCAGGTACAGGACAGCAGGGAGGACGCAGGCCAGACCAGGTACAGGTACAGGACGGCAGGGAGGACGCAGGCCAGACCAGGCTGGCAGTGTGTCAGTCATCGCCAAAGAGCCTGGGTTCTCCATGTCTCCATTCCGTGGGTTTGAACACTGATAATAAAGGCTTCTCGGGGCTCCCACCACTCGTTTTAAGCAAATCAGGAAAGAAAAAGACCAAATCCCAAGGGACAGTGGTGAGCGGAGAGTGGTGAAGCAGCTCCCAGGCTGGGCAGAGAGTGTGTGGCCAGCAGTGGAGACAGCAAGGTCTGCCTGCCCGCCATGCCTGGGTGGTACTTAGGAGGCTGTGAAGGGTGAGCTGAGGAGGGGCAGCAGACAGGATGGGGACAGGAGATGGGCCCTTTTTTTCTTTCTTTCTTTCTTTCTTTTTTTTTTTTTGAGAGAGAGATTTTTGTCATAGGGTGCATGCACTCGCCAGAGAAAAACAGTGAAAAATCACTGCCCAGGGGGGATGACCACACCACAATCCCTTCTCCTCCATTTCCTTTCCTCTCAGGATTTTGGGCATGCACACACACACCTATGCCCAGTGTAATTTTTAAGCTGCTGGGTCCAGGACTTGAGCTGCTGTCAGCCATATGCGACTTCAGTGGCTTAACCACCACACCATCTGCTGGCCCTAAATAGCCTTTCTTACTGTGCTTTAACAAGTATCATCAAATCAGTTATTCCTCAACATCCCTAAAAAGTAGAACTGATAAACCATTTAATCAAAGTTCTTCACTACGTTACTAAAAAGCCCTCCATTCTAGCCTGGATTCACCTATGAAGCTTCTGGACTCATTTGTTTTCTCTCTCTCTCTCTCTCTCTCTCTCTCTCTCTCTCTCTCTCTCTCTCTCGCGCGCGTATTTTCA